GTACCCTCACCCAATTCAATTCGGCACATCCCTCACACGTTTCTTGGCCCCGCAGGGAGCTCCACTGATGGCCCCAGCGGTAGCGTCCGTATGCAACCACCGCACCTGCTTCGGCACACCCACACCCCTCACGCGTTTCGTGGCCCCATGGGGAGCTCCACTGAAGGCTCCAGCGGCAGCGTCCGCTGGGCGTACCCGCACCCACTTCGGCACACCCCTCAAACGTCTCGTGGCCCCACAGAGAGCTCCACCGAAGGCCCCAGCGGCAGGGTCCACATGCCACCACCGTACCCAAGTCGGCACACCACTCACGCGCTTCGTGGCCCCACGAGGAGCTCCACCGAAGGCCCAACTGCCAGGCTGGCGCCAGTTTGGGGGCGGACTGATCGAGGTTCTTTGGCGGCGCGCAGAGGGGGGTAGGGGGAGGGGGGAAGGCTTCTTAGAAGGAGGCTGCTTCTTAGAAGGCGCCGGCCTTACATTTGTAGACAAGGCCCGCGCCTTCTAAGAAGCAGGGGTGCTTCTAAAAAGCCCTCCCCCCTCCCCCTACCTCCCTCTGCGCGCCGCCAAGTTCTCGCAGGCATCGTCGGCGTGCGAATTGCTCTCGCCGCCGCGGGTTTCATCCAGAGGTGCGCTGCGAGAGGCGCGAAAATGGAGCGACCGGGAGAGCTGCAGAGGCACACCGTGGGCGCTCACGCGCCAGCAGATAGGACCAGTTGCGGAGGATTTGCGAGTCAGCCCCGCATGTCAAGCTGAGGGTGTCGGGGGGCAGCGCCCAGCGTCATGGCGACTTATGCGCCCTGGCTCGCGCCTGGCGGGAGTCGACGGCCCAGAGTCACTCCATCGGGAGATCCTGAGCCTTGCGAGGGGGCCGAGGAGCACGATCGTGACCCCGGCAATACGCGCGGCGGCGTGGGCAGAGTGCGGGGCGAGCATCGACGAGGACACGCGATGGGTGATCTCCAAGAGCTTCAGGGCAAGGCTCGCAGAACTGTGCCTGTCGACGCGAATCCCGATAAAGAGGCCCAGGCCGTGTTCTGCATTGGCTCGGTTGGAAGACCAGGGTTGCGAAGGGGGTCGGCCTTGTCCATGGCATGGCCGCCGTCGAGACAACGTGCACTTGCACCTTGTGAAGCCACGCGTGCTGGACGGGGTATGGGTGGAAAAGGGGTGACAGAACACATCGGCCAGCCCTCTCGCGATCTTCGCGGCTGGAGCCGCCGCCGGATCCAGCGGGGTTCGGCAGATGCGACGGCGCTGCCGGGACGCGACGGGCCCACGACGCCGGTTGGCCCCCGCCGCTCCCATACCCATGGAAATGCTGCCTCGCGTTGGAAAAATCGCCGGAGCCGCAGTTCGACTACACGTAAGAGTGACCTCTCGCCGGAGTGACCTTTGGTGCGGGCCCAATGGGGTCCCCCGATCGCTGAGCGCGAAGCGGTAGCAGCGGTTGGCGCGCCCATGTTTGGCCACCCCGCGTCCCCCGTTTTGCCGCGCACCAAAGGTCACTCTTACCCAGGGTCTTTCTTACGTGTAGCCGAGCAGTGGCTGTGCCCAAGCGCGGAGGAGAGGGAGAAACTCTTGGGACCTTTCGGGACACACGGGGGTTGCACTTCGTTCGAACTGGGGCAAGCCAGGCAAAATCCACGACGCGCGATCCGCGTGGCCCAGATGCCCTGCAAACGGGAACGGCGGCGCGTCTCATGTCTTGGCTTTTCGACGGCGCGGGCATGTCAGCAAAAGACTTTGCTACGGGTTTCCTGGTCGTGAAGGCGGCGGGGCCGAGCTCGCTCATGGACAACCTTGGCGTGGAAATGGCGCGAGGCTGGATACGGCGGCAAGCCCACGCAGGACGCGAGCAACGAAGACGCGGCCCGATGGATCATCCTGTACTTTTCCCGAGACAGACGCTGCAGGAGTCTCGGTGGAAGTGTCGCCGTGGTTTGGCGTTCCCCAGGGCATCCCGGGGGAGCGCGTCACTGTCCTGGAGCTGAGGGCCATTCTGGCGGCCTTCCAATGGCAACACCGGGAAAGCGTCGACGCCCACAGTCGTGGTTTGCACGGCGCCGACAGCTTCGCGGCGCTCGGGGTCTTGGCGAGGGGCTCCAGCGCTTGCCAGAGGCTGGCTTGCCATCGTTTTTTTTTGCCTCATCGGTTTGAACACTGTGGGGGGTGCTTCCGCGCGCACCTGAATCCAGTGGGTGCCCCATCCATGGAATTATGGTGAATAAGACCAGGCAAGACCAGCGGCGATAAAGGACAAGGGCAACGTCGGGACGTTTCCGTGGTTGGATAGTTTCACCCAGGACGCTGAAGACGGATAAAGCCGCCACAACATGCATCAGGGACATACACTACCGTCTACACTATCATATCTAATTGCACGCCTATGCCAATTCATCGAGGCGGCTCGGCAAAAGGGAGTCCAGAAACTCTTGGTGACAACGCCCTCTCCAGGGCGTCTTCGCGGGAGGAAAAAACGAATGAACGTTGGAGAAGGGAGCGAGCAGCCCAGTCGGGCCACCCCACTCCCGATCTCATTTTTGTTTTGCCCTCTTAGGGGCTGCCGTTCGAGAGGGCCATCTCCGCGCGGCACGGGTGTTGCTGAGTGCGTTCCATGGTTGTTTGCTCCACGCGTGGGAGATGTTCGCACTGCAAATGCTGCAGTTGATATTGCCGGAAAGGCCAGTAGTGTTCAGTTCGTTCTCAATCAAAGTTGGACATCGACTGTCCTCATACAGGAATCGGAGGTTCTTAGCGGTCCAATCGCAATCGCCTCTCTGCGAGGTCCGCCGCTGTGTCCACAACACAGAGAGCGCATCTATCCGAACGGCCAGCACGCCTTCCACAGCGACTTCGCTACGCTGGTAAAGGTTGCCCGCTTTCGGCCGCCAACTGGCGGCCGTACTCTTGTGCGCCGAGGTGGAGCGACAGTCCACTTCCTCGAGTTCGGCATCTTGGACTGCATGGCAGTATGGGGTCGCTTACGCTCAGTGGCAACCGCGTGCTTGCACATCGACTGGGGCAGGGCGGCGCAATCAGCCCTATCGCCGTCGCCTGCCCAAGTGCGCCACATGGAGTATTTATGCGATCCTGTCTGACGGCCCGGTTCCCGAGGCCGTTCTGGAGGCCACAACATCGGCCTCGCGGCCGGAGCAAATCAAAGATTGAGCATGCGATGCGCTTGAATTGATGCATGCGTACGGTTTGGTCTTAAAGAGTTTCGATCGCCGCGCTCATTTTGGATGTCCCTTTTCGACGTTGTGCCGGAGCATACGCACGATTTGGTTTTGTGTAGTCTGATCACCGTGTTTATCTCTGGTGCAAGCCGACCCATTGTTTATGATGTTTGTTTGAGGCAAGATTCAATCGTGTTAGATTTGATGCAGCAGGTGGAGTTCGGGGCTCAACTGGAAACATCATCGACATACAGTCGGCCCGGATTAGTAGGTCGACCCTGCCAAATCAAGGGTAGCTTTGTGTCCTGTGTCTCGCGACCCGTGCCTCCTGCATTCCTATGGCAACGTGGCCCTCGGAAGGGTCTTTTGTCCTCTCGCGTGCCCTGTCCCTCGGGCTCCAAGAGTGAGGCTTGAGGTTCAACACAGTCGCGCCCGATGCTGGGCCGAGCATTGGCTCGATCGGACTGCCTGCCTGCCTGCGTGTCCTGTCCAATGAAATCCGACTGTATGGGGCGCGTTGCAGTCGGGGCCCTGAGGAAGGAACCCTTTTCGTTGGGGAGGGGCTCGGTGCTCCTCAGTTTTTTTGCAGGTCGCCTCTGGCTTTGCTCAGGGCTTCGATGGGACATCGATTTTTTTAACTTGTGGGAAGAAGGGGCCTCGCTCCTTGTTTTGGGCTCCTTAGGTCCACGCCCCGACTGTACGTCCGACTCTGCATGCCTGCGTCTGTGACCCCGCGCACGCCGTCGGCCCGGCGGGGGGCAGCGCGCACGGCAGCGCGGGGGGGCACGCACACGAGAAGAGAAGCCCGAGCGCATTCTCCGCTCCAAGTTCGACGAGGATCTGACTTGAAGCTCGACGTGGCACTTGGCTTCCTCCTCCTCCTCCTCCTCCTCCTCCTCCTCCTCCTCCTCCTCCTCCTCCTCCTCCCCCTCCCCCTCCCCCTCCCCTCCCCTCCTCCTCCTCCTCCTCCTCCTCCTCCTCCTCCTCCTCCTCCTCCTTGAGCCAAAATGGCTACTCCAGATTTCGTAATAAAAGGGAGGGGGTCTGGACCCTCCAGGACAAGCCATTTCAGGCCTCCCCCGTGGGAGAACCCTCCAAAACATCGTCCCCAGACCCCCCCAGGCCCTCCAAGATAGCTTGGAAAAGACCCCCGCGAAATGAGACCCCCCTCCCTTTATCACGAAATCTGGAGTTCGGACAAAGAAACATTGAAGCTCGACGTGGCGGCCAGCGTCGCACCTCGCCGCATCATCTGTCGGCTGTTCCACGGCCGCGGTGGCGTTTCCCTTTCCGAGACTCGGGCGGAGCTTCCGCTCCGCGGTTGCGGCGGTTTCACCAGGCGTTGCAGGGCATGTGGGGGTGGCTGCAGCAGTGCCGGACAGCGAGGGTTCTATCGCTTGATGGCCCGTGGGGTTCCCATCGCATGACGGTTCCAGGAGGCTCCGTCGATTGACGGCCTTGTCCCGCGCACGAGCCTAGCGACGGCCGCCTGCCCCAGGCGACAACACACATTGTCGCAGCACTTGATAACAAAACGTGCTCCTCGACAGAAAACCACTCGGAGCATTAGCTGAGAAGTGGGGAGAAACGAGGTGGTCTGGGTACGGGAGCGTGTGCAGCACGCTCTTCGACAGAAGATTGCCACATCCCGTATTCCTTCCCCGAGCCAGTGCTTCGATCAGGGGAGGGGATTGCGGAGGATTGTCGTGGTGGTGCTGATGGGGAGGGAGCAAATAATGAGGAGAGACGAGGAAAGGGAAGGCAAGCAGTACAAGGACAGTAATGCGAGCGCGGCCGGGGGGATACACGCGTGGCTGACGGCAGGTTTGCTGGCTACGATGTCAACTACAAAGGCGGCAGTTCTTGATCGATAGTGGTCGGGAATGTCAGGATCATGGATGTTGGTGAAGTAATGAGAGGTAGGAGGAGGAGCAGCAGCAGGAGCAGGTGCCTCGATCTCGTTTCTCCTCTCTTCCCTCCCCCCTCACGGCCTTCATTCCTCTTCATTCCTCTCCTAAGTGCTCTCCTCGCTCCCACTGCAGATTTGCTGATTATTTGTATGGCACGGTCTGAGTTTAGGAGTGGTGCGGGCAACGCGCAACGAGGGATGCGACAGAGGGACCTTGACAGAGGCACGATGGGAGGGAGGGAGGGGAGGGGACGGTAGAGCGGGTGGGGAGGGGACGGAGCGGAAGGGGGAAGGATGCGGACTCGGAGGATGGGCGAAGAAAGGGGGAGGGCAGGGGCGAAATTGAGAAAGCGACTGGGGGAGGTGGTGGGAAGAGGGATGGCAGGGATGGGGGTGAGGCAGTGAGGCGTTAGGAGACCTGTGCCAGGACGTTGCCACAGTCGTGGCCACCCTTGCGCGCCGATGTCCCCCCCCCGCCTGCTGGGAGAAGCATGGGACGGTGATGGACGGGTGGTTGGAGGTCGGGAGCCTTCAGACGGGGGTCAATGCAAACGGGGGTCAGCCAGAGCGCCGGATTTTGCCGGATCCTGCGGAGCCAGGGTTGCATTGACCCGTGTCAGCGCGTAGGATCCTGCAGGATTTTCCGGAATCCGGATCTTGCAAAGCTTGATTGTCCCAGTTTTGCACTGACAACGGCCAGAGGCGGGTGAGGGGCAGTCGGTTGGCATGGGCGTGCGCATTGTCCCAACGTTCCTGAACTTCGAAATACCGATGGTACACGTGTGCACAGCTATATATATACACACATGTATACATGTGTATATGTATGTATGCATACATGGATGCATCTATGTATGTATGCTTGCCTGTATGCATGCTTGTATGTATGTATGTACGGCTGTATGGCTGCCTGCCTGCCTGCCTGCCTGTCTGTCTGTTTGTCTGTCTGCATGTGTGTAGGTAGGTATGTATGCATGCATGCATGCATATCATATATATAGTCGCCCCCCACCAGCACCCCCCAAACCACCAAAACCACAAATCCATCATTGATCGTTTGATCCTTCTCATCCTCCTCCTCTTCATCCTCCTCTTCCTCCTCCTCCACACATGATCATACATCTTCGTCTTCCATGCATCCCATATCACTTCTTCCATGCATCTGATCACCAGCACCCTTCTCTCTGCCTCCCTACACAAAACAAACAGTGTTTGGCGCTCTCGATGCAAGGAAACGCTGTGTATGTTTGGTTTCGTTTGTTTTTGGTTTGTAAAATAACGAAACACTCTGTTGTGTTGGTTTTATTCTTGGTTCTGCAAGCCCCCAGGCTCGCCGCGGCCTCCCTACCAGCACCCTTCTCTCTGCCTCCCAACACCAAAAAACATACACAATGTTTGGCGCCCTCGATGCAAGGAAACGCTGTGTATGTTTGGTTGTTTGGATTTTCTGTTAGTGAAACAACGAAACACTGTGTATGTTTGTTTGTTTTGCGTTGCAAGCCCCCATGATCGCCGCGGCCTCCCTCCTCCCAGAAACAAGCAACAACCATACACAGTGTTTCGTTCTTTCACAGACCAACAACGAAACAATACAACCAAACATACACAATGTTTGGCGCCTTCGCTGCAAGGAAACGCTGTTTGCTTTGGTTTGGGAAACAACGAAACACATTATTTATTTGTCTTTTTGGGGTTTTGCAAGCCCCCATGCTCGCCGCAGCCTCCCTCCAAATACCCCTTGTCTCTGCCTCCCCCTCAAAAAGACAGTGTTTCGTTGTTTCACAGACCAACCCTCCCCCAACAAAAAATACACAACATTGCCTTGCATCGAGGGCGCCAAACACTGTGTATGTTTGATTTTTCTTTGTTTTGGGAGGCAGAGAGGGGGGTGCTGAGAGGGAGGACACGGTGAGCATTGGGCCTTGCAAAACTAAAGAATACACAGTGTTTCGTTGTTTCACAGACTTCCCAAACAATAAACAGTGCTCCGTTGTTTCACAGACCCAAAAATAAGGAGGAGGAGCAATGAGCAATGAACAATGCGCGGGGAGTTCAAACAAGTTACGCAAACCTCACACCATAAAACTGGCAGCGGACTCTGCGCGACCCAACTTCGAGGGCGAGCGGGTCAACCTGTAAAGGGCGGGGAAACCCCTCTGGCAGGACCAGCACTGGCCCCGAACGACGGCGAACCTCGAGCACCGCGCCAGGAAGAGGAGCGAGTGAACTCTCATCTTTCGTCCTCCTCCATCCTCTCTCCTCCTCCTCCATCCTTTCCTCCACGTTGTCATCCTTTGAATGTGTACCTCAATGCTGGCCCTTGGGAAGGAGCGCAGGATGAAGATCATGACAGGGAGAAGGGAAAAGAGTATCATGAGAGGGAGCAGGAGGAAGATGAGCAGGAGGAGGAAGAGAAAGATGATGAGGAGGATGCCCCTGCCCCCCCAGGCTGTCGTTGGGGGGTGCTGGGGGGGGGGGCGAGCATATATATATATATATATATATATATATAGATATATATATATATATATATATATATATATAGCCATTGTGATACTCAAGCCCATATCTTGCAGAGCATGCTTCACACTGCCGGTGCTGCACATTCTTCTTCACGCGCCCCCATATTACCTCGGTGGGGGGCTGTGCTCCCACCTTGCCGATGGTGGCTGATCCACGCTACGCATCTGTCTCGGCGCAACCGCGCCGCGGCCTCGGAGCTGCTCCTCTTGACGGCCTGCAGGCACAGAGTGCGAGGGACGATTTGATTCGCATTCGTCGTCACGCTCGAGATGTGCAGGCGACCCCTCTCCTCGGCCACCGCTCCAGGGGGGTGCCCTTGGACAAGATGTCGGGGAAGAGAGGGCCAGGAGGCCTAAGGATCATCCACGTGATGTGCTCGTGCGGGAAGGCCTTCTTCGGGGCATTGGTACGGAAGGGCCTTCGGGCTACGGAGCCTCGGCGGCCAGCCATGTTTCACGGCTTCCTCCCCCACAGACGTCGTGAGGGGGCCATGGCTGTGCAATTGATGATGAGATATGATGAGTTGGCGTCTTTTGCGGTAGGCGCTACTCCTATTCCTCCTCCCCCGCTCTTGACTGGTACGACGCTGGGATGTCCCTCGTGGACTCTGGGCTGTCTTGGCCTGACCGTGGACGCTGGGATGTCCCTCGTGGACTCCTGGCTGTTCTTACCTCCCTCTTCCTTTTCCTCCCCCTCCTCCTTGTCCTCCTCTGCTTCTTCTGTACCCCTGCAAGGTGGAGATCGCAGGGCTACGCGTCCCCTGTGGTGGCCACGGGCATTGCGGGCAGTTTTCGCTTGGGCGACGTAGCCCACCACGGGCGGCGAGGCCCTGGGTTCCTGGTCGAACGCTTCCTGATCCCCAAACCAACATCATCTTACTATCGCCAGTAGCCCCTCTTGGCTCAAATTGGCTCGATCGCGTCATCATGCCTGCCTCTTCGGAGGACGCGCTTGACAGGAAACGCGCAGCCAACAGAGCCTCTACAAGAGGATTCCGAATAGAAGCCTCTGCAATAAGACTACCATTTGGGAGCGTTTTAAAACAGGGTTCTTAGAAGAAACCGTTACCATAGTATTCCTACCGAAAGCCAAAACAAAAAGGATTCCTATTGAGAGCATCTGCGCGAGGATTCCTATTGAAACCCTTGTTACAAAAGGATTCCTATTGGGCGCATCTAAACGTGATTCCTATTGAAAGCCAATACAAATTGATTCCGATTGGGAGCACGCAATGATCCCTATCAAAAGCATATACAAAAGAATTCTTCCCTGTGAGAGCATCTTCCAGAGGATTCCGAATAGAAGCCTCTACTCTTGAAAACCTATTGAGAGCCTTTACACTAATATTCTTGTTGAAACACGTTGCAATATGATTCCGATTGAAAACCAATGCACAAAAAAAAGGATTCCGATAGAGAGCCTGTACAACAGTAGTCCTATTGAAAGCCTATACATAAGGATCCCTAGTGAGCGCATCTAAACATGCATTCCTATTGAAAGCCAATACAAGCTGATTCCGACGGGGGGCCTCTACGCAATGATTCCTATTGAAAGCATAGACAAACAGGTTCCTCTTGATAGCCTCTACGAGAGGATTCAAATTAGAAGCCTCTACATGTGAATTCCTATTGAGAGCGTTTACAAACGTATTCCTGTGGAGACACGGTGCAATAGGATTCCGATTGAAACCAATGCAAAAGGATTCCTTTTGAGAGCATTTACAAAAGGAATCTTAGTGAAAGCTTATGCAGAAGGATTCCTATCGAGCACATCCAAAACAAAAATATTCCCGTTGAGCACCGATACAAAAGGATTGCTAGTGTGAGCCTCTACGCAATCATTCCTATTTCAAGTATATTCAAAAGAGCTCCTACTGAGAACTTGTACGATCGGATTCTGACTAGAACCCTATAGATTATGATTCCTAGTGAGGGCGTTTACGCAAGGATTCCGATTGAAGCACATTACAATATGACGGAGGGGTGAATTCCTAAAAATCACACACACACACACACACACATATATATATATATATATATATATATATATATATATATATGTATGTATATATATATATACATATATATCGTTTTTTCTTCCTTTTTTTAAACAAAAATATAGATATAAAAAAAACGCCTGGGATTTCTGAGATGGAAATCAACGAAGCCTCATGTTTTCATTCGGATGTTGTTGATTTATGGGATGTCAGGCCCCGACGAAACCTGCACCGCTGCTTCTTCCTCAGGTCGGCGCCGCCAGAGTCCCAAACATCCAAATGAAAACACAGGGTGCGCGAGGTCAGGGGTCACCGAACCTTGCGTTTTCAATATTTTTTTGTTGAAATCAGCGAAACCTCATGTTTGCATTGAGATGATTGAGTTTTTTTGGAGTTCCGGCCCCGACGAAACCTGCGCCGCCGCTCTCCCCCCAGGCCGGCGCCCTCAG